AAATATTCTGAAATTTCTCATCCCATAATTTTTAAAAAGTATTTTAAAATTTTTTAGATTTTGTAAAATTTTATATTTAAAAAAAATCTTAAAAATCTTACGATATTCCATAATTAACATATATGAAAAATTCTGAGAAAAAATGTAGATTTTTTGAGAAGTGTTCCAGTTGGTTTAAAAAATGTGAGAAAGTTATATAATTATAAAAAAATTCTGAAAAATTATATAGAAAAATTATATAAATATTTTGAAAAATTCTGAGAAAAATTCTCATTAGGTAACTTCGCCAACACACGCTTTATACTTACTTGCAGATTTTCGTTAAATCCGCTTATTTGTATTATAATACCTGTAGCTTCTTCATTGACATCGATTTCATAACCAAATCCAGCCGTTACAGTCGGGTATAATTTTTCGAGCAATAGATATTTTAATACATTGCAGTATATTTGCAGGTAAGCTGCACTGAAATGTTATTAACTATAAATATAAATTAATATAAATTAACTTTTATAATAAATGAAGTATAATAATAAATTAATTTATAAAAATCACAATAATATATGATAATTGTTAGAGTTTATAATAGGTATATATAATAGGTATATATAAGATCGACAGACGTTATAGTACTACTGTAATATATAAATATTTTTACATGTCCAAGCTATTATTATTTACTTTTTTGGTACTCGATTAATCAGAGAAGAAATAATGTGAAGATTTATATGACACATCGGCCAATAAAACTTCGGGCGAAACCAAATCTCCGACATATAATCATGGTGTATTTTTACAGGATATTTCGAAGCTTCTGCTGATACTGATATGATAGAGAAATTATTAGTAAGAAATTTATTGCATGATGGTAAATTAAAATCAGGCAATGGCTCGATAGATTTCCAGCGTTCGATCCATTCTTTTGGTAACTCGATATCTTTATAATTAATTTCGAAATGAGGTTCGACTATATTTAATGCAACATCATCGTTGAAAATCATGATCTTCGCTGTCTCTGGCATCAAAAAATCCAAACATTTTTGTATAGCTTCTGGGTTATATTCGAAATAAATATGCTTTCCAGTTAAATAATCACGCGGCTGATAGAAATGCATTCTCTTACATAAATCAAACACATCATTATGCTTACTAAAAAATCTAAAAAAGTCTTCAAGTATAAGTAGCATATTTTATGTATTTTAATAGTATATTTTTCTCTTCTACATATCTACTTTATTCCTAAATGATTTACCTAAAATTATTATTTCCAATCTTATAAAGTTCATTATAAATACTTTCTTGTGGACCCGTCTTTTTTATTAAATTTATAAAGGAAAATATTGCCTCTAGAACGTCTCGCAGATGTTTTAGTCCCTCATCGGTAAGTTCTATTATAATCTCAAATAAAACGTACATAGAGTTGTATCCAAAATCATTATCGTTATCACAGTTACCACAAAACACATCAAGGCCCCGCATTTTTTTACGTAAATAACTAGTTAAAGAATTATTTCCTTTATGTTCAATAATCCATGAAATATATTTATTTGGTTTACTTCTGTACAAATTAAGTAGTGAAGGCAAAGTCCACGTTATATGTAACTGTAAAAGACAAGTTTTATTTTTATATGCATTTGTTCAGTACACAGATTTTTTTGAATTTGTGTGTCCAAGTTACATACTTGGATGATATCTTTCATGGGTTTAATCTGTTTATATATTTTTTGGGAAGTGTCAGATATCATATCAAATGAATCGTTGTCTTTAAATTTAGTAAAGTCATCGGAAGGCAGCCAATTACTTAATATATCACTAAAGCAGGTTTGGACATATACTTCCAATGTATCTAGCGGTAATCTCGCCTATAAACAGATGTACGTGTTATAAATTAACCATATTTAATAAGAAATCAATTGTTCATCGCAATTTTAACATATTATAATTACCTGTATAGCTAACATTATTCTGTGAGCGCTATAATGACGATCTCTGAAATTGTGCAGTTCTTCATACAACTTGTCATCATCATTGTTTAAAACTATTGAATTGCGCCGAAGAAACTTACTGGATGGATGATTAGTTCGAGCAATAAAAGACAATAATCGTTCCTTTCTATTTTTGTCACTAGATGAATCTAACTGAAACTCTATGTGAACATGGAGCATTAAAAATCCGCAAATTTTAGTAACATCATTATGATTTAGATACCTCTTTGTATGATCTTTCGCTCTCTTGTGATGGCATCTTTCTTTATCCAAAATTTATCGAAAAATACACTAAAAGGAACGAGAGCTGATAACAATTGTGTCTCTGGGATATCAAAATAAAATCTTGTATACTCGCAATCTGTTGCGCCGTAAGTTGTGCCACCATGGAGACTGATAAATCCTTTAAAATCATTTTCCTATAAATATAATGATATTTAAACATTTAATTGTACAAAGAATATATTTCATAACAAATTCACTTATCGTATTTTAATACATTTGGATATTTTTCGGATTTCATAAAAATCATGCGTTGAAGGAAATGTGCCAGGCCTGGAACTTCCGGTGGATCGCTAAAACTGCCTACTCCCACACATAAGCCAAAAGATGCCTGAGTTTAACAATATACTTATTTTGCATATCAGAATGTTAAATTGATACATTAAGCACAAACAGTAGTAGTGAGATAACCTGTGAACAGTTTATTTCGAAATGAATCCAAGAATTACAAATTAATCCATTGGGTGAATTTATATAGGGTGTCTCTTAAATTGGAGCTAATGAGGGCGGAAAATGGATCAAAGGGAACAAAAAATTCTTATACTATTTTGAGATACTCGTTGTAGTTTTCAAATTAGAAAAGGAAACGTCTAAGCCAATATGCGATTATGGCTCTGATCCATCTTAAGAGATATACTAGTGAATTTATATATGTTATAGTCCCTTAAAATGCGCGTAGAAATGATTTTTCAGTTTTGAAACACAAATTCTATTAAACACAAAATCTATTAAACTTATACCGTTATATCACGAGTAAATTGATTAGCAATTTAACAATTTGATGCCTTCTAGCATCATAGAACTTAATAGTACTGAGTGACAGTAAATAATTAATCTTGCATTAAATTGCTAGTTAATTTAATCATGATTTTGCTGTGATAGTATATAGATAATAGAATTTGCATTTCAAAACCGAAAAATCATTTCGGTGTGCATTTTAAGGATTATATACGTAATATATAAATTCACACAGAATCATACAAACATTTAAGATTCACTAAAGACATTGATTTCTATAGATTGTGTTTCTCATATTGATCCTGTAATATACAATAAAAATTAATAGTTACCCATAAAATAATATAACTACATAAAGTTAAAAAGTTAAAAAAATTCTAAAATGTAATTAAATTTAGTTAAAATAAATTAACTTTTTAATATTTTAACTTAACTTTTTTAACTTTATTATATTTAAGTAATTTGCAATTGGTTCAGAATATGCGATTATTTCATGCAGTTAAAGTTTATTTTTTTTGTATGCACAAAGTTTAACTTGGAAATCTCGAATATTTCATTTATTTTTTATGATTTCAGATAAAAGTAAGACAGTTTCGAAGGAAACACGTTTTGATTATGTTTTTTTTTTTTTTGGATGGAGGAGCCATATGAGGTATAAAGATTTCCATCACTGTTTTAGACGTAATTACATTTTTTTTACATAATACAATGTGATACCTCTAATTATTCTACATATAAAAATAAAGATAGAGATATAAAAAAACCAATAGTTTACGAGTTATTTTATTATTCAGACATTTTATTATTCAGTATGTGTCAAAAGAAAGTATAAAATATATCGTAAATTATTGATTTTTTAACATTATTACGTTAATACTTTTATATGCAGAATAATTAGAAACATCATATTATTATTTAAAAAAATTATATAATTCCAAACAAACAAAAGTAACCATCATTAAAACAAGCGAAAGTAATCATCAAATCTTTGGCGCCTCTGTCTATAAAATATTACGTGACCAAAATACGCCTTCGCATTTTTTAAAAAAAATTTTTTTAATCTTTTATAATTTTCGAAATATTACATTAATATGTGGTACACTGTATGCATACATAAATGCGCGCCCATTTGTGTCCAAAGTAATTCTTTTAAAAATACATTACATTATAATATAGATCCATATAGATTGCTTGTGATCCTCATTAGGTCCTGTTAACCGTTGGCGGACTAAAATTGATCTGTTTTGTCTTCTGTATCTATAATCTGCATTGTTTTCGAAAAGTTCCAAATATACACGTAAACGATCATTAACTTGATGAAATCTTGAGCTTATGTATCTGAATTGAAAAAGATTTAGCTATATCTTTCAGTAAAATAAAAATACATACATTATATACGCACATTTTAATTGCGTTGCTAAATAATCAAAGTTAAACTAAATTAGACTTTTTTTATTACATTTTCTTTTTATATTTTATCACATTTTATATATACGTTTTGATATTTATAACAGAATAAACATTTATTATTTCTTTATTATGTTGTCTTATAATGCATTCTTTACAATTGCAATATTAATACTGATAAAATATTATTTAAAATTATATAAATCTTAAAATATTTAAATAACTTTTAAAGATCTTTAAATGTTTTAAACTATAAATATTTTGACTCACGTTAATACAAAAATACAAAAATAGCTTACTAAATAAATTTACATATACTAACTCCAAAACAGTTTCCACAAAGTAGACTACTTAAGATTATTGTACATGTCGGAAAACTGATAAAAAATATTATATAAATTCCTTTAATCAAATTTTTGTAAAATTTCTCATGAGTAATAATAACTTCTCCATAAGTGTAAAAGTGTATTGCGAAAAGATAGAAAGCGTATACAGTTAATCCGATTATTATTCGTATTATATTGTTACGCAGCCGTTTGTATTCCTTTGGCGCATCGAGTGCTTCTAGTGTATCGTCTACTATGGAAAGTTCATGTAAGCACATTTTTAATTCCTTTAAAAAATTATACCGATTAGTGACATAAGAAGAAACTATAATAATTTTATTTCAGAATAAAAATTGTTATTGCAATATATGCATATTCGATAGATAAAGAATATATAGACTGTATAAAAAAAAAAACAAAAAGTATGCATTTCAAATTTTAGAATGTAGGAAAGTAATATAAATACAAATACTAATTTTTTCATCCTTTTTATCCTACAACATATTTCGTCTACAATAAATAATATAAATAATATAAACATTAAAATTGATCTTTGTTCTAAAAGTTTTTATAAATTTATATGATTATAATAACAAATTTGTAATTGCTTATCAAGACTTCTTTAATGCTCTCAGTTAAAAATATTAAAGAAAATTTAAGAAATATTAGAAGGTCAAGAAATATTAGGAATTAAGGAAGAATATTTTAAAATTTTTACTTTAAATTTATAGAAGTTAATAAGAATTAATGAAATGGTGAAGTTATAGACATCGTTAAAGTAGTCATAGATATCTATTTTATTCTGCCATGGACAAATATTGGATATTGAATGTATATAATATTGCTCCATATGACCAAAATATACAAGCAAGAGAAATATGGCCTAGGTTATCCAAGAGGATATTCAAACAAGCCCAAACAATAGAACGAGCCAATAATAAATAATGGTGCCAGGGTTGACTGTAGTGTTTTCGTCATAATTTCCAAGTCGTCGGTAATTTGAGTTAATCTTGCTGCACGAGACACAAACGTACTTTTTATGAGAACTTTAGAAATAGTTTTTGCAAATTTTCTAGAAACTTTGAGAATTACACTGTGTTTATATTAGAGAATAAAATAGATATATACACTGTACACATCAACTAATTATATATTTATAGTAATTGGAAGAGGAATAATCTATTCAAGTAGTGAATGGTAAGTGTGAGCAATATCTGAAAGACAGAAGATATATTTCTGTTGTATTTCTGTTCTACTCAGTAATTTCTTCTTTCTGCGCAAGTGCGAGTTCTCTCTTTAACATACTGTCATTGAGCAGGATAGAAAAATATTTCTATCCTTTGATGTTGCTCACAGTTTAACGTCCGTATTTTCCTTCTAGTTACTATAACTTCTATGAATAATTCTAATTAAAAAAAACTAACTAAATACAGTAAGTAATGGTTTACCTAGCTATATTTTTCGCGAGGTAATAAAACTTGATATTCACTCAATCTTCTGCACTCAGCAGTCTTAAAGAAAATCATAAATTACTTCTTTTTTTTTTAAACTCCTTCTAACAACATATTCGAGATCAACGATAGAGCTTAAAAAAAAAAACTTAAACTATTATATCATAATAATTGTTCCTTAGATAAGGGAAAAAACGATCTTTTTGAGATATAAATAAGAGCCCACGAATTAAATGCCCGAGCAGAAAGAACACGAGTGAGCCAATACACACGTACTGTGAGCCGCGCATTTCGTACGCTTTGTATACTATCTGTGGCCGTCTGCTATAAAACTCTAGACATATTAAAATAGCGCAATCCTTTTATCTGAAAATGAACTGAAATGTTGACAATTTTCCTATTGGTTATTTTGACTCCCATTTTCGACTTAATGGTCTGTAGTCCAATAAGCACTTAGTATTATTTATATACATATATATAGTTAATATATTGGATTGTTCAAAAAGTTATTGCGTTTTTTTCATTTGATTTTCAGATGTGTTTATTTAATATACGTAATGAACATTAATCAATGATATATTGGCCGTTTTGTTCGATGACCTTCTGCCATCTCCCGGGCAACTTCCAACCAATAATATCACGTTCATAAAATTTTCCATCCTTCTCTGCGAGAAACTAGTCTAGGTGCTGTTTGATGAGGTCTTCAGAAGCAAACGTTTTACCATTCAAGGAGTTTTGCAAGGAGCGAAAGAGATGGAAGTCTGATGGTGCAAGGTCTAGGCTATACGGTGGATGTGGTAACACATTTCAACCATGCAACAATTTTTGCCGAGTGATCAAACTTGTGTGTGGTCTCGTATTGTCGTGGTGAAACACCACACCTTACGATTGATTAGCTCGGGATGTTTCTGTGCGATGGCATCACTTAATTTCTGCAGTTGCTCACAGTAGACATCGGAATTAATCGTTTTGTTCTTTGGAAGTAGATCATAGAAGACTGGTCCCTTCCAATCCCACCACATTGACAGCATTACCTTCTTTTGATGGATTTCCGCCTTTGCTTGCCTTTCCGGTGCTTCACCTCGTCTACTCCAACTTCTTTTTTGTCACCTATGATCATACGCTTCAAGAATGGATCGTTTTCTTCGCGTTTGAGGTAATCGCAGACGCTCATTCGTCAGATGAATTTCTTTCAACTCATGCAATATCCAAACATCGAGCTTCTTTACGAAGCTTAACGATTTCAAATGGCCATGAACACTTCCAACGGACACTTTTAGAGCGGTAGCAAGCTCCCGAACCGTTGAATGCTTATTTGCTTGCACCAATGCTTTCATTTCATCGTCGTCAATCTTGGAAGGCCTATCGGAGCGATGAGCGTCTTTGACTGAAAAATCACCATC